GCGCCTTCATGAGGAGCCCCACCAGTTCCTCAAGGATGATGAAATGGGCCATCTTCCTCAGCCAATACAACATTGACATCCGTCCGAGGTCTGCCATCAAGGGCCAAGCCTTGACGGACTTCGTGATAGAGTGCACGGCGAGATCAGCAGTGGACGAGGAGCCCCCGGCGTAGGCATGACAATGGGTCAAGGCGGGGCGGGTACTGCAAGACCCAGACCCGCCCCGTGACTTGGCGGGGCGGGTCCGCCCCGCCCCGGGACCTGCACGGGTCCAAACTTGTTGACCCATGACCCGCCCCGCCGTAACCTAATTAGTTAGTATGTATTTTTATTTGTGGGAAGTTGTTACCAATTGAATTTACATAAAGTTTATCTCTAAATAATAATTAAAAATTAATATATTAAATCAAATTCACGATACGCTAAAATTTTCAAAAATTAAGGAAAAATTCCTCAGACTTGAATAATTAATCTATTTAATTATATTAATCATTGAATATATGTATTAAAATGCTATATATAAAGAAGACATTGATAATCCGTCGTTCATCTCATTCTAATATATATTAATATATTATAAAATCAAAGCATTTATGATTTATTGTATACACATATGTATGTCGAAGTGTATTTGTAGTATAATTTAAGAAAAAGTATGTATACTTATATATTGAGCGGGTCGGGGCGGGGCGGGTCGGGGCGGCACGGGTCAATTTTAATACCCGAACCCGCCCCATTTGCAAGACGGGGCGGGGCGGACCCGCCCCAAATGTCTCGGGCCAGGACGGGTCATTGCGGGTCGGGTTTTTTTGACATCCCTACCCCGGCGCCACTTGACGAGTGGTGGACTCTCTACACCGACGGCTCCTCCGCTATCAAAGCATGCGGATGAGGGGTGGTCCTCATCACACCCGAAGGCTTCCGGGCCTATTATGCCATCCGTTTCTCCTTCAAGGTCTCCAATAACGAAGCTTAGTATGAGGCCCTCCTTTGTGGCCTTCGGCTGGCAGCAAACCTGAAAGCCAGACAGATCCATGTCAAGTGCGACTCCAAACTAGTCGTCGGTCAAATCTCCGGGGAGTATGAAGCGAAGGAAGGGAGGATGAAACAATATAAGGAAGCGGCCAAGGAGTTGCTCAAGGTATTTGAGGCACACTCCCTCATTCAAATACCGAGGGCTCAAAACTCTGAAGCTGACATTTTATCAAAACTCTCGGTTGAATCCCCTGAGCACCTCTCAAAGATCGCGAGGATCGAGGAGCTCAGCCTCTCAAGCATACTTGCAAGCCCCGTCATGGACATACACCTAAGGCAGAGGATTGGATCTCCGACATCGTCACCTTCATCACCACAGGGCAACTACCTGAGGATGAAGCCCACGCAAAACTAGCAAAGCTGAGGGATCCCAGCTACACAATCGAGAATGGAAGGCTCTACAAACGATCTTACAGTGGCACTTGCTCAGCTCACCAGGGACCCTTCTCCATGTCCCGAAGGCTCATAGTCCAGGGCTACTTCTGACCTACAATGGCCCGCGATTGTGCCAACCTTGCTCGAAGGTGCACCGCCTGCCAACACTTCCAGAAGGCCCCCGGGAGGCCAGCGGTTAACTATGCCTTCATCAGCACGGCTATACCCTTCCCCACATGGGGCATTGACTTAGTTGGCCCTCTGCCGAGGGGTACTTCTGTTAGGGATATTTTATGGTGTCCAATCTGGTTAAATATCTTTGTATTTGTGTAGCTATTTTGTCTAGATATTTTAGCCCATTTGGATCTTTGTTAGCTATTATTTGATTAGCTTTATTAGGAAATGTGCAAAGTGTCTATTGGGCCCAATCAATAAAAGATCTCAATCATGATGCTTAGGTCACATCACACATTCCCTAGGCCTATAAATAGTGCCTTAGATGGAATGTGCATAGAGGCTTTTACAGATTATTCACGCATACATCTAGTCTAGTGAGAGAGAGTCGCAGCTTTGTTTTCTCGATACTCTGTTCTACAATTCTCGATCATTGTTTTGTATTGAATCAAAGTTGTTTCCTACTCTACTCTATCTATTTCGTTAGATTTTTTATTATTTATATTGAAATCAATGTTTTAGACAAGTTACATTTCGACTTGCTTGCATTTACATTTCTTATTAACTTGCATTACATTTCATCACACGTGAATTACATCATTCTATTACTGGGATAACAAAAAAAATAAAAATGGTTACTATACACGCGTGTATTGTTCACGCTCGAAAAGTTTTAATTAAAAATTGTGTAAACTGCGTCGTTTTGAGAGCAGGAGCACGATGCTCACCGTGGAAACATCCCACGGTATACAAATTGATGAAAGACTACTCTGATTTGTATGTACTTCTTATGTCCCTTAAAACTTTGCCAACTTTCATTTTTTGGATGACCCACTAATTTTTCAACTTTTCCTTTTAAGTAAAGAATTTGTGGTTCCAGTTAATTCTCTCTCCTCTGCACAAACCTCAACCACACAGTTTTTATTTTATTAATCCTTGTGCCGGTCAAACTTGACATTAAGGGACGGAGGGAGTATGAGATTAAATATGGCCGGATGTATGGCCATACATAGGGAGTGTTTGCAATCTCTCAACAAAAGTGCTTTTGAATTTTTTTTGTAATGAAAAGCCAAAAATGGTGTTTGTAAACCCAACTTTTAGATTAAATTAAAGCACTTATAAGTCAAAAGTTCAAAGCATGCTTGGGGGTGCTTTTATGAGCTTATTGGTATTTATGTAAGGGTCTGTTTGCAATTGCTTTTAAAAAAGGACTTCTCAGCTTTTGGCTTTAAAAAGCACTTATTTTCCCAAACACTACAACTTTTATTTTTCTCGGCTTCCGCGTCAAAAGTGCTTTTACTTTTTCTATTACACAAAAAACACTTATTTTACCAAACACTACCCACTTTTACTTTTCAAAATCACTTTTTTCTCAAACACTACTAACTTTTATTTAATCACTTCTCCCCATTTTATTAAAAAAAACACTTTTTTAAAAGCAAAAACTGTTGCAAACAGACCCTAAATACTCCCAACTTTGGGTATTGTTATTAGATCAAGTATTTTACCTAAGGGCGTTGCTTGGCGCACCCCTAATTTTACTTAATCTAACCTTGATCAGACCAATTTGTCCTCTTGCATATACTCTGTAAGCCGTATTCCTTAACTAAAATTACCATCCTTCATAGTTCAAACCTTCATTAGGCCATAGACTATAATTAAAATTGCCATCTTTCACGGTTCTCAATCCCAATAATTATCAATTTCTTTCCAAAACTTATTAAAAATAAAAAGAAATAAAATTAATTTAAACATTTTAACTTTTTAATTTATTTTTGAATGGTCATTTTATATATGAATATCTAATTGCAAATTTTAAGTTACTAACATTTTATTTCAAACCGCTAATGAAAGTGGTTAGTTAAAAAGGTTAATAGAATTCGCTAATATCTATTTGTTGATTCAATCGGCTATGAGCTAGCAGACAACAAATATTATGAAACATGATCATTGACATTTTTAGACCTCCACTGTGATGACAAAATCAAAGTAAAAGGACTGCAAATATCAATTTCACAATATTTATAATATGAAATGTCTGAAATTATAAAGTCAGGGATCGAAAGTTTTGTCACTCACAAAAAATTGACCAATTTGTCACTAGAGCTTCTTTTTTCAGCAATATGTCTCAAGTGGTTATTTTACCAATCTGTGAGATGACTCTCCTTTTTTTACCAATTTCGTAATTTGGCCGATTTTCCGCCGCCCCTATCAATAAGGCGCTGAAGCACGATTGAATCTGTAAAATTTATCCAAAAGTTGTCTGGCATGTATTAGGATGTTTTTACTTGGACTATAATTTATCCCAGACCAGACCAGATCAGACTTGGGTAGTTATAAAAATACAAAGAAATCAGACCAGATTAGATCAGACCAGACCAGACCAGACCAGACGAGTAAAAACATCCTTATTGATTTTAATATAAAAGTCACTATATAATTAGAAAGAAAGAAACAAAGTAGAAAAAAGATTATTAAGTAAAAAAAGAATAATGCGGCATGACCAAGTAAATGAGTCTGGAGTAACTAATGTTTACGGAGTAGTAAAGTACAGAGTGCTTCATGTCTTCATAGGACACATTCGTCCATTCCTTGAGAAAAGTGGGTGCGCCTAGCACATTTGTTGGTGCGCGGAGAAGGCACGTTTACCTAAACCAAAACTACCCTCCCCTCCACTGATTCCCTGCGGCCTGTCAAGCCATGCTGCCTCATGGCCGAATGGCTCTTGTGTAGTAAATGGAGATAGCAAAGACATTTTTGTCTTTAACCAAAAAACATCAAAAATCGTTTTTTCTCAAAAATCACTCCAACTTTTATCTTTAAATTAAAGTTACTCTTATACTTGAACATTACCTACTTCTACTTTAAATAACTTTTTCAATAACCTCTTAAATAAATCATTTTTGATAAGCATAAGTTCGGTAAACACTCCCTTACATACGTGCTGTCGGTGCTGAAGTTTTGTTTGTACGAGATTAAAGAGTTTTTGCCATTTTTGGTCCCTCGACTATTATGTCAACGACACTTTTGGTACTCGACTTCTAATTGTTCCATTTTTTGTCCTTGACTATTATGCTAGAGACACTTTTAGTCCCCGAATTCAAGGTTTCCCACATTTAGTCCCTGAGTATTGTAAAATTGACACTCTTAGTCCTCCCATTATGATTTTGACACAATAAGTGGAGGACTAAAAAAGTCACTATTATAATAGTTGAAGGACCAAAAGTGTCACTTTTATAAAAGTTGAAGTACTAAATATGAAAATTTTCAAAGACGGGTACCAAAAGTGTCTCTAGCGTAATAGTCAAGGACTAAAAATGGAAAAAATCAAAGTCGAGTACCAAAAATGTCAATGACATAATAGTCGGAGGACTAAAAGTGAAAAAAACTCGAGATTAAATATGGAAATATGTATGGGAAGCTGCTGACGTGGATCTTAATTTGTATCCTAGAAAGTGCGGATTACTGGAAATTCCTTTTTCGGGTCAGGATTCAGGAAGCTTGTCCTGCCCAGGTACAATGAAAGGCGGGCCTGATAATTGCAGATGATGATTGATTCTGAAGAAAAAAAATGGGGGTTCTTGGAAGCCTATTGGGAATCTTTGGATTTTGTATTGGGGTTCTCATAGGCCTAACGATTGGCTATTTTTTGTTCATATACGATGTGCCAACAGATGTTAAGGTAAAATATATAAATAAATTGCATCATTTTTATTTTATTTAATCGTCATCAATCCCATTCCGTTATTAATAACTCAATATAAAATGGAATTACAGTATGATCAAAAGCATGGCGCAAGTCTTGTTTTTTTTATATTCCTTTCCTGTTCATTCTCCCAGTGTCCTTAGCATAAAGCTGGTTTTGTGGATTTGATAACCACCAAAGATGGATTCTTTATACTTTCATCAGTTCATGGAATATATATTTAACAATACTCCGCAATATATTTGGATTTCTCTCATCAAAAGGTTTCAACTTATGCAGTCTTGCAATTTTTTAAAATTCATTTGGGACATACATAACAAGAAAAGTAGAAAACAATTGTTTGACTGTTAAATCACCCTTGCAACTCTTAACCTGCAGGATCCACCTGAAAGTAGACCACTTGAAGAGCTTGACTCAACCTCCTTGGTTGATCTTTTCCCTGAACTTCCATCATGGGTTATGGATCCTGGTTTTGAACGTGTATGCATGCTTGGCCTTTAAGGGGTTCTTATCTTTTTATTTGTCTTACCTTTCTTTTCTTTTTGGTTCCGATATCATATATTGATTCATGTTAGTCGACCCCAAATTTTTTGGGACTAAGGCTTGGGGGTTGTTGTTTTATTGAGTAGGTTGAGTGGTTGAATGAGTTCATAGCTTATATTTGGCCATATCTGGACAAGGTAAGACAATTGTATAATATGCCTATCGCTTTTTTAAATACAGTTAATATTTTAAGTAATAGGCTTAATGGTAAGCTTGATTAATTCATATTTTGAGGTGATCTGATACGTAGCTTGATCTTATCGCATCTACAGGCAATTGCTGCAGTCATCAGAGGTGCAACAAAACCTATTTTTGCAGAGTATATTGGCAAGTTTCAGCTAAAGTCCATTGCGTTTGAACACTTTACTCTTGGAACTTTAGCCCCAAAAATCAATGGTTAGTCCTAGTTAAACTGCACTTATGCGTTCAGCCATCACATGAATAAAGAGAACTTATGAACAACTCTTATCTATCTGAGATTAGCTTGAGATATATTTCATTCAATCTTTCCAAAATATACCTCATGAATTTTTTTGATCAATCTGACAGGTATAAAATTGCTTAAATCCAAAGAAAATCAGCTAAACTTTGAACTTATATTCAGATGGGCTGGCAATCCCAATATTATTGTAGCGGTGGAATTGCTATCTCTAAAAATCCATGTGCAGGTTAGAGCTATCAGATATATACCTTTTCAGAGAATTGATTAATGTTAAGTTTTTATAATAACATGAAAATGTTTCAAGTATTGTCTATTCTGTTTTTTTTCAGTTAATAGATTTACAAATATGTGCAAAATCACGAGTGATTCTAAGGCCTTTGTTGCCTACCTTCCCATGCTTTTCAAGCATTACTGTATCACTTATGGAAAAGGTATGGAAAAAAAAGATTTGGATGATTTTTCTTCTTTTCTATGAACCATGTGAATCAATTAAAGTTATACATTGAGTAACTGCATGTTCATGTGAAGCCAAATGTAGATTTTGGCCTGAAGGTTTTAGGAGGAGATGTTATGGCAATCCCTGGCTTACACCACTTCGTTCAGGTCCCTCTCTTATCTCATTCATCCCTTCACATGTATAATATTCACATTTATCTCAACTTTACCCAAACTCCTATCTCATTGGTGTCAGGGAACTATAAGCAAAGAAGTTTCCAAGCTTTGCCTCTGGCCACAAACAGTTGAAATACCAATTCTTGACGGATCAATGTAAGCTCTAAGTCATAGAAAATACCCAGACTGGTATATGGTTCATAAGTGCGCAAAAATATTCGCTTGATACTAGAATACTATAGCTGCTGATTGGGAAATGCTTTGTGGTTCATGTTATTGATGAGTTCATTTTTTTCACAAGGACGTGGTCATCTTGCGTATCCGTTGTCCATTTATTTAGAGGGAAAATGACAAATAAATGGTTAAAATAAAAATAATGGACAAAAATATGACCTTTAATGGTGACCATTCTGATATGTTGCTGTGATTGTGGTGACCACAATGATGTTATGATTTACACTAGAGTGATCGTGATGGTATTTTCGTAGTGACCATGCATTCATATTGTTTTCATGAGTTCTATTTAAGTAATACTATAGGAAATACACATTATTAAATATTTGATTCATATAGTAAAGATATTAAACCAAAATCAAAAGGCAGCACAATGGCATTGTCTTTATTCTTGCTAGAGGAACTGTGAAGAGGCCTGTTGGAATACTGCATGTGAAAGTCTTGAGAGCATCGAATCTACTGAACACAGATGTCTTTAGTAAATCTGATCCTTATGTTAAGCTCAGCCTTGGCAAGGAGCTATTACCAGCAAAGAAGACTAGTGTAAAAATGAATACTCTGGATCCTGAGTGGAATGAAGACTTCAAATTGACCGTAAAGGACCCAGATTATCAAATACTGGAAGTACATTTATATGACTGGGAAAAGGTTGGGATCTTAATCTCTTGATTGTAGTGATACACTTGCACTCTTTTCAATATAAAAATCTAATTTCAGGATGAGAAATTAGCATGTAAGATGCTCAAATTGTACAATAAGCTTTTTGGTTTGTGTCATATCGATACTCAAAGTCCTTCATTTATCCCAATGGTTACCTAATTCATGAAAAATGTAAAATTTCATGGTGCCAACGATAGATCTAGTTAAATTTGACTAAATCAACAGCTGTAGTACACTTTCAGATATGAGGTCTTATATCTATTACATGTTCACATGGAAATGCGTCCTGCCATGTAGTTATTTTTAAGGATCCTGGAGGTGTTTATAGAGGAAGCTAACTGTCAAAAAACATGACCTGCCGAACCACCTTTCTATAAATTCTCTCTTTTTCGACCTAATATGACATTTGTTGTTTACTCTGGATTTCTGGTTGAGTATCCTAACAAATTTGATTGGAATTCACTTTGGTGCACCCTTTAATGAAGTGTAACATTTTCATGACTTCAGCACTATTGGGATGCTGAAATGGTGTAAAAATATTAAATACAGCACCATTTGGTTACCTTTAATTTGAAACTAGTTCAGTAAATAAGTTGGTGGTGTGTTCTTTTTCCTCCATCCTCCCCCATACTGTTCGGATGTTATGCTTGTAGTGCTCTTTTTACTAGAAACACAGTTTTTAGTTTTGGATATTTAGGTTTTCTTTCATGATATCTGTTTATTATAGTTTGAGAGGATGATAGTTTTTAGATTCTTACTTTGCTTTTGTAGTTTGGAACACATGACAAGCTGGGGATGCAAGCAGTTCCTCTGAAGTTGCTCAAACCTTATGAGAAGAAAGAATTCACTCTGAACTTGCTAAACAGCACTGATTCTAATGATCCTCAGAACAAGAAACCACGGGGTGATATTACATTGGAAATGACATTTATTCCATTCCAAGAAGATAGCAAAAAGTTCAGTTCAATTTTGGGAAACCAAAATGCAGAAAGTACGAAGAGCATACCAGAGAGCAATTGCTTGCAAGGAGCGGGTTTGCTTTCTGTAAGACTTGTAGGTGCAGATGATATAGAGGGAAAAACCAGTACCAATCCTTATGCGGTTATCCATTTTAGAGGAGAGGAGAGAAAGACCAAGGTATCTGTACATATATAACATCCTTAGCTTCCTTAAAACCCATGTTTAAAATATTTAGTCATATGCTTCTGTTACTATCTTTTCCATCATTTGCAATGGAGCCAAAGATTCATTATTTTTTGGCTTGAGAATATGATTGAATAAAGCAAAATGGCTCACCAAACTGTCTGCTCTTCTTTGTTATGAAGCAGCAGTCAATCCATGTAATTTTGGACGCAATTTTCATTATGGGTCATCCGGAAAGAGTCTCTCTGTGTTATAGTACAGGGGTAAGACTGCGTACATCCGACCCCCCTAACCCCACCGTAGGTGGGAGCCTTTGCGGCACTGGGGTAAATGATGATTGAATGATATGCTTCTGTTACTATCATTGTCCTGGTCATTTCCTGCAGAGGATCAAGAAGTGTTTGCATCCAAGATGGGAAGAAGAATTCCAATTTGTGTTAGAAGAGGCTCCTTTGAAGGACCATATCCATGTAGAAGTCTTGAGCGTACAAAGGAGGGCCTTTGGTTTTCGGTGGAAGGTAATAACACCATACAAATCCTTGTTTTTCTCAAACTCACCATTTCCGCAGTTGTTCTTTGACAGAACGCTTTCTTTGCATTGTATATAAATATATATATAGTACTGTAAATGACCTCTGTCTGCATGCAGGAGTCTCTAGGGTACATTGATATCCAGCTCCGGGACATAGTCTACAATGGGCGTATAAATGAAAAGTACCATCTTATAAATTCTAAATACGGAGTATTACATGTTGACACTCGGTGGAAGGTGATATGATCTGTTGGGGATTCTTTTGAATCACATGTTAACTTTTTTGTTCCTATATTTGTTTCTTGGTGAATAATAGATATATGCGAATAATTATCAGACTATTATACTAAAGATCCCTAAGAGTCTGTTTGGAATACAAAAAAATGCCAAGGAAATAAAATTAAGGGCAATATATAGGGTACATGGAATGACAGAAAAATCTAAAGATGTGGTTAAAAAAGTCAAAACAAAAGAGCACTCGCATTTCATTTCCCCTTGCCATTTTCAGAGAAAATAAGTGCGTTAACATTCTGTTCTTTCCTTACCTTTTAATGGAATCCAAACATACCCTAAAGGTTTTCTTATGAACTCCCGTAATTTTGGGGTAGTTCAATACCTTAGGCACCCCGATGAGATTTGGGGTTGTTTGTACGAAAAACAGTCCCGCTTCAGCTTTTAAGAGCCCGTTTGGTAGCACCAAAATCAGCTGTTTTGGCTGATTCTGCTGAAATTTATGATATTCTGGCTGGAGTGGCTGTTTTGGCTGATTCTGCTGATTTAAGAAAAAAAATATTTTAAAAATATATTTTATTAATAAATTAAAGAAAAAATTATATGTAAAAATAGCTAAAATGGCCCTCTACAGTAACTTCAGCCAATACAGCCAGAAAAGTAACTCCAACCTTACTTTTTCGGCTTATTACACAATTCAGCGCGCGAAAGTAAAAGTTACGTGTTTGGTGAAAAAGCTGGCTGATAAGCCTGATAAGCCGAAAACAGAGTTCTCCAAACGGGCTCTAAGACAGAAAAAGTCACCTGAGTGAGTTCAAGTAGCCTAAAATATGGCTTAACATGATTGAGTTCTAAAATTTTTTAGAACTCTGGGTCGAAGTTTTACTGTTGGCTAATGACTATATCTGCCACGCACACGTGAACATACACATACGCTTGGATGTAGTTGTATTGATTATTCAGTAGATCTAACCAATCAAAATGAGCAGTATGCTATATCCAAATGATATACTCCCTCCGTCCCGAAAAGGTTTGCCAACTTTGACTTTCACATGGATTAATAAAGTAAAAAATGTGTGGTTGAAATTTGTGCAGAGGAGAGAGAATTAACTTTAGCCACATATTCCTTACTTTAAATGAAAATGACAAATCTTTTTGGGACATCCAAAAAAAGAAATTTGGCAAACCTTTTCTGGACGGAGGGAGTATGAAATGTGGTGCAAAATGAGCACTCCTTTAGCCTTTTCACACGGTAAATTGATGTAAATTTGCCAGGGACGTCCAATTGAAGATCAAGTCGTCCCATTGACTATATAGGAATATTCACAATAAGAGTGTTTTTAATTGGATTGCTTTCACTCCTAGAATAAATTAGACTTCGATAATGGTATAATACAGGTAGAACATACATCTACTATTAGAATCGTTGAGACCAGGTTAAACTACAAATTTTCAGTCCAATTAAAAACGTTCTAATTGTCATTGACTTCTGTAGGAAGCACATTCCTCATTTTTTCAAGCCCACATCTCTCTACTCAAAATTCATTAACATCAGCATTCATAGTACCCGCCTACCCGGAGTCATAAATGTTATCCGGTGATTATTATTGTCCGTGAGCTCTTACCAAGGATTCAACCATAACAAGGGACATGGAGAAATAAAACATCCGTAGCTAAAAGTTTTCAATTCTATTTTAGAATATAATTAGTACGCTTAAATGACAATTTAATTTTCAAATATTAAAAATAATAGACCTATAATCTCAAGTGTCATCAATGACTTTGTTATATTATAATATTATATACCGATCAAAACCACATCTCAAAATAATATATTTAGATAATCTTATTTAATTATTTTGTAAAAAACGTGTCATTTTTCAATAAAAAGTTTAAGTCACGATGGAAGTAGTATCAATTTATAACAGAAAATTTTGTTGCCGAGTAAACTAACTTAATTTCAGGGAAATAGGCCCGAAATTCTACCGGTTTCAAGTCTGGTTAGCTTTGGCTATTGAAGGTAAAATGTTGTAGAAATACCATGATTATTGATTAATAGTGGTGACGAAGAAATAACATTTCGGCTCCGTATATACTGGGCACTTTACTACGGATTTAAGGCGTCCTCATGCCTCATGGACAACAACATATCCAGTATTTGTTCCTAGGGGTAAGAACATTTATGCATTATGATATTATCATGTAGGCTTTATTATATAAATAAACACACTAATCTAATTTAATTTTGAATAACATACATTAGCACATCCACAATAAACTTGGTGCTCTACAATAACATGTAACGAAGTCTTTTTGCTTTGCTCGCTTTGGCTACATATGGCCATTCATCATTGTCCATGTGTGCAAGGGCGGAGCCAGGGGTCAGGGTGGTCAGCCGACCCCGCTGAAAGTTCAAGAATGTAGAGCTCTGAAATACTTTCGATTCGATATATAATAGGCTCCGTAACTCATTACGAGTAAAAATTTGATGTGTGGCGTTGGATATATTCTTAAATTTAAAAATAAAACACCTTATTCGGTCATTAGTAGTGTGAACATATGATACATTACATATACATTATCCTTCATTCTTTAATTCTTGCAACAGTTTGACTTTCACGTTTACCAACACACAACTTTGACTGTAATTATATTTAATAATGTATTACGTAGTAGTAAACTTTATAAAAAGTTGATATCTTGGAAGTTCACACTGATAGGAATTCAATAACATTTTATACGTAATACGGAGTAATTTGTTTGTGTATATTAGTAGAAAATCGTGATAAAAGTAAGGTTTGTGAATAGTGCAAAATCACAATGTTGCAAGAATTAAAGAACAGAGGAAGTATATCAATACATTATTAATCGAAAAAGGTTCATTAAACTACCATTTATCTCAGCTACATATGAAACATTTAACTCAAGTATCGTATAATAATTATCCATTATTTTGGTACTTTATATAATTAAATTCCGACCCCTCACATATTTTTCTGGCTCCGCCCCTGCATGTGTGGTGCTTCCGACTGAGTTTTCAGTACTCAAAATGCCTAAGATGTGCCGGAAGTTTGGCCGGGGACCACGGATAGACAAGAAACGAGAGTTACACACAAGTATCAGTGGCGTAGCTGGGGCCTAGGGGACAATCTAAGCCTTGATTCACACCAAATTTAAAGATGACTTAAGTATTAATGTAAAAAAAATTATGTAAAAATTCGTCACAAAAAAAAACTTTGTATCAGGAAAGACCGAAGCAGTGCTCTGCTACACCCCTACCAACAGGGGCGTATCCACTACGGAGGCAGTGAGGGGCAACTACCCCCTTAACATCAACTCAGCCCTCATATATATCTATAATTTTATGGAGAATTGCTCAAAATAGGACTTAAACATGGGGGGGGATTATAAAATAGGATCAAAAGAGTGTTTTCTTTTTTAACTATAGGATTTATGTAATCCTATTAGAAGAATAAATGGATAAAACAATTCAATATATTTTGTTATGTTTAACTTCTAATTAGGTAACTTTTTCAAATTTATACACAATTGCATTTTTGCATACACATAATATAAATTATAAATTGATCTTCTTTCTATACATAGTTGTACGTATATATCTTGAACTAAGTCTAATTTAATAAAACAATATTAATAATGTGATTTGCTATTTGTGAAATATGTGACTAAGTTATAGTGTCAATTCGCTCTCACCAGGGCCGAACCTAAGATATTGAAGGGCCTAAAATATTAAACTGCAGACCTAAAATATTTAAGGGAAAAGTCGGAAAAGGTACTTGTGGTTGAGCTCATTTTCAGATACGGTCATGTGTCTCATTTTTCTCAAATTGGTTCATGTGTTTGAACTCCGTTATCGTAATAGGGTCCTGACACCTGTCGCCGTTTTTCAAAAGTGCCCGAAAAATAAAAAGGAAATTATCGACAGGTGCGCCTCAACAAGACGATCGCTAGGCAATCATTCTTTTTTGTTTTCAGCCACCCTTGTCACTGGGAAGTCCAACCAAAAAGTGATATTAGCGAATTAATTTTAAAAAATAATTCGAACGAATCCGAAAAATCCAAAAGCAAAGATTGTTTGGAGGTCATCATGACGATGTGCACCTTCCGATATTTTTCTTTTATTTTCCGGGCACTTTAGGAATTCGGAGTTACTATTAACCGTCTTCCTCAGACGTTTGTAGGTGTGACCCCCTTGTGATAACGGAATTCAAACACATGAACCACTTTGATAAAAAGAGAAACACATGACCCTATTTTTTTTAAACAATTCTTTCTAACCTATATAGTATCTGCTCAATGTTAATGCCAACATCCTTGAACTGAGATGGGATTCGAACCTGTGACCTCCTCCTTGGGAGTGTCACAGTGATGCCATCAGACCATAAGGTACTTGACGAAACACATGACCCTATTTGAAAATGGATTCAATATTAAATATAGTATTAATATAAAAGAAAATGTATTTAAAGTATATTATAATACTAAAATAATCGTATGATTTTAATTCATATGAATACTCATAGTTTTCAATTCAATAGAATCTAATAAATGAATAGAATCAAGAAATAATTACATAAATATGACCAAAATAAAGATAATTTACAAAAATGTGACTAGTTACCAGAGTAGTAATGAAATCATAGTAATTCATGTTCAAGTGTTGAACTTAAGTTACCACAACACTACGTTCTAGTGAATAGTCATATTTATGAACTTAAGATACTAAATAATTAAAAAAAAGTGTGAGAATTAGATAACCTGTAAGGCTGACGCATTGTATGAGGTGAAAAGGTCAATTGTGAGCTATTAGAATCTGTTCTCTTCGTCTTATTCTTATTACTTATTGCTTATTCTTATTTTATTCAGATTAGATCGGAAAGATTTAGATCAGATCAGAAGCATTCAGATCAGATCAGACCAGATCAGAAACATTCAAATCAGATCAGAAACATTCAGATCAGATCATATCAGAAAAGTTGAAATGTGATTTATCACTTTTATTATTTTATTAATTAAAATTATTATTATTATTATTATCATTACATTATAATTAATAATAATAATACATTAATAATAATAGTAATAATAATATACTAGTAATATAATAATATATTATTATTAAATTATAATCATAATAATATAATTATAATACAATAATAATAATAATATTAAATTATAATAA